GGGCTCAAGCGAGTCTCCTGCTTCAGCCTCCCAAGTAGCTGGGACTACAGGCGCCCGCCACAACGCCTGGCCATTTTTTGGTTGCAGCCATCATTTGTTGTTTGGTGGGCCCGGGCTGGGGATTTGAACCCGCCACCTTAGGTGTATGTGGCTGGAGCCTTAGCCGCTTGAGCCACAGGCGCTGAGCCTGAAATGATTATTCTAAAAATTATACAGCAGGATTCTTACCAGAAATACAGTTAAGTAATAAAATTTGGGCAGAAAAATTGAGGCATGAATCCCAGTTCTACCATTTACCAGCTGTGTGACTGTGGACAAGTTAATTTGTTTTCCCATCTCTAAAACAGGAGTGGTGATAGTCATGGGGTTTAAATGACATAGTAAGAACACATACTACAGTACAGGACACAAATGGCTCTCATGTAATGAGCAGTTAAGAGCCTAGTTATGTCTTCTCTTTAGATCTTAGTTTCTCCATTTAAGAGTTAGGTTCTTTTAGTTCTATAACCCCTAATAACTAAGGGCCCAATATTTTCTAATACTACACTGTTATTGTCTGCTTAGGATCAAGGAGGACTTCATAGACAAAAGGTCCTTGATTCATATATACATACACACATGTAATTTGTGTGTGATATAGACTCATGCTATTTTTGCCTGTTCCAGGTCATCTCTTCCCTCCATGGTTTTTGGCATCAATGCTTTGTTTACCAAACCTGCTCAGTCTTTGGCTCCCATCATGATACTCTTCAGACTAAACCAGTATGGATATGGGAACTCAAACAGCAGGTAAAGTAAAAAAGCCCTTTGAAGTAATGTAACAGAAATATGAAAGCAAACTCAGCCTTTTGCATTAATCACTAAGCGATTATCTTGGACTTTGGATATTATTAGTCATTAACTCATATATTCTGAGTAAGCCATAATAAAAAGTATTAATGTTAAGTGGACTTTCGTGGGAGTATCTTTAAGTACATTCTTTAAATTATGTGCATACCACATATGTCTATTTAATTCCCACTCAGCTACACTTTGATTACTTTATCTAAGTCATTCATTCATTTATTATTTAATTTCACAAATGTTTTCAAGGGCCTGCTATTATATGCCAGGTACAAAGGAACTAGAATACAAGATGAATAAGAGCCTCTAAGGGGCCTTACAGATTATAAAAAACTGTGGTGAAAGCCATACCAGAAGTATAATGGGCACTGTGGTAATTCAGAGAAGAGATTTCCATCTCTGTCTCTCTTGGGTCAGGGAGCACGTCTCAGAACAGGAGGTTCTTGAGCTGAGATTTGGATGCTGACTTGGATTTTCCTCCTGAACACGGAAGCATGTCATTTCAAGTAAGAAAACAGCCTGGCAAGAGCCTGGAAACAGAGTGAACTCTCATTACACTATTTGTGTATTCATTTGACAAATATTAGTGAGAGCCTGCCAAGTAAGTGCTAGGCTGTGTGATGTGGCAGTGAGGTACAGCAGTGAACAAAAGTAACAGAAATTTCTGCCTTCAAAGAGATTATATTCTAGTGGGAGGGAGGTATGTTGGGAGTGGTGATATTTTTCTGGTAGAAAAAAAGTAAATCAAGAAAGAAAATAGGATGGGGGAAGCTGCGTTTAAAACAGGGTGATGGGGAAGGCCTCACTGAGAAGGTGGACATTTGCCTAAGACGCAAAGAGAAATGGGAGGGAACCCTGGAGGCTCTCTGGGGGAAGGGTGTTCCAGCCAGAAGGCACAGCAGGTGCAAAGGCACCGAGGTGCAGGCATTCTAGGTGTGGCAAGGAGGCCACTGTGGCTGGAGCAGAGTAAGCAGAAGGGAGGGAGGGGGGATTGTGCAGGGCCTTGCCGCCGTCTTTTTTTACTTTGATTTCACTATAAGAGGAATGATGATGCTGAAGTAGGATTGATTGTTTGACTGGTTTAACAGACTTTACTTCTTACAGCAGTTTTAGGGTCACAACAAAGTTGAGCAGAAAGCACACAGAGTTCCCACGTGCCCCCTCCCCCACAGATGCACAGCCTCCACCATTATCAACCTCCCCATCAGAGTGGGACACTGTTACAACTGATGAATCCTCACTGACACATCATCATCACCTGGAGTCCGTAGTTTACATTAGGGTTTACTCTTGGTGTTATACATTCTGTGGGTTTGGAAAAATGTATAATGATACGTACCTACCAGCATAGTATCATAAGGAATAGTTTCATTGCCCAAAATATCATCTGTGCTCTTCCTGTTCACCCCTCTCTCCTCACTAACACCTGGCAACCTCTGATATTTCTTTTACTGTCTCCATAGTTTTGCCTTTTCCAGAATGTCTTACAGCTGGAATCATGTATGGCATTTTCGGATTGGCTTCTTTCACTTAATAATACATATTTGTGTTTCCTTTTTCTTTCTTTCTTTTTTTTTTTTTTTTAAGAGATAGAGTCTCAGGTGGTGCCTGTGGCTCAGTGAGCAGGGCGCTGGCCCCGTATACTGAGGGTGGCGGGTTCAAACCCGGCCCCAGCCAAATTGCAACAAAAACATAGTCAGGTGTTGTGGCGGCTGCCTATAGTCCCAGCTACTCAGGAGGCTGAGGCAGGAGAATCACCTAAGCCCAGGAGTAGTTGGAGGTTGCTGTGAGCTGCGTGATGCCATGGTACTCTACCGAGGGCGATAAAGTGAGACTCTGACTCTACAAAAAAAATTAAAAAAAAAAAAAGACAGAGTCTTACTTTGTTGCCCTTGGTAGAGTGCCATGGTTTCACAACTCAGCAACTTCTAGTTCTTGGGCTTAGGCAATTCTCTTGCTTCAGCCTCCCAAGTAGCTGGGACTACAGGCACCCACCACAATGCCAGCTATTTTTTTGTTGCAGTTTGGCCAGGGTCGAGTTTGAATCCACCACCCTCGGTATGTGGGACTGGTGCCCTACTCACTGAGCCACAGGCACCGCCCGTGTTTCCTTTTTTATGGCTCCATAGCTCATTACTTTTAGTGCAGAAACAATATTCCATCATCTGGATATACTACTGTTTATTTATATATTAGTCTACTGGAGGGCATCTTGGTTGCTTCCACATTGGAGCGGTTATGAATAAATCTGCTGTAAACATCCATGTGCAGGTTTTTGTATGGACATAAGTTTTCATTTCACTTAGGTAAATGACAAGGAGTGTGATGGCTACATCATATGTTAAGGATATGGTTAGTTTTGCAAGAAACTACCAAACTGTCTTCCAAAGTGGCTGTACCATTTTGCACTCCCACTCTCAGTGAATGAGAGTTCCTATTGCTCCATACCAAGCCAGCATTTGGTATTGTGCTTTATATTTTGGTCATTATAATAGGTCTGTAGTGGTATCTCATTGTTTTAAATTTGCAATTCCCTAATGGCATATGATGTAGAACATCTTTTCACATGGTTATTTGCTATCTTTATACCTTCTTTGGTTAGGTGTGTGTTTAGGTCTTTCGATGATTTTTTTTTTTTTGAGACAGAGCCTCAAGCTGTCCCCCTGGGTAGAGTGCTGAGGCATCACAGCTCACAGCAACCTCCAACTCCTGGGCTCAAGCGCGTCTCCTGCCTCAGCCTCCCAAGTAGCTGGGACCACAGGCACCCACCACAATGCCTGGCTATTTTTTGGTTGCAGCCATCGTTGTTGTTTGGTGGGCCCGGGCTGGATTCGAACCCGCCACCTTGGGTGTACATGGCTCGTGCCTTAGCCACTTCAGCCACAGGCACCGAGCCTGATTTTTTAATCAGGTTGCTCATTTTCTTATTATTGAATTTTAAGAATTCTTATTTTTGATAATAGCTCCCCCTTTTTTAGCTATTTATTTATTTAGCAGGCCTGGGCCAGGTTTAAACCTGCTACATGGGGCTAGTGCTTTAACCACTGAGCTACAGGCACCCCTCTGACATTTCTTTTGCAAATATTTTCTCCCAGTCTGGGGTTTATCTTCTCATTCTCTGCACAATGAGAATTAATCTTCTCCCAGAGTAGAAGTTTTAAATTTTAAGTTTAGTTTATCAGTTCTTTCTTTTGTGGATCATGTCTTTGGTATCTAAAAAGCCATCACCATACCCAAGATCAACTAGATTCTTTCCTGTCTTATTTTCCAGGACTTTTTATAGTTTTGCATTTTACATTAAAGTCTGTAATCCTTTTCTTTTTCTTTCTTTCTTTTTTTTTTTTTTAAGAAACAGAATCTTGCTATCCCAGGATGGTGTGTAGGGGCTATATTCCTAGGTGCAGTCATAGCTCACTGCAGCCTCAAATTCATGGGCTCAAGGCTCTTCCTATCTTAGCCTCCCAAGTAGCTGGGACTATGGACCATTCCATCATGCTGGGCTATGGTTCATTTTCAGTAAATTTTTGTGAAGGGTATAAGGTTTAGATCTAGATTCATCGTTTTACACCTGGATGCCTACTAGTCCAGCATCATTTCTTGAAAACACTATCTTTTCTCCATTGTATTGCCTTTGTCCCCCTTCGTCAAGTATCAGTTGATTATATGTATATTTCTCCTCCGTCCCTTCTGCTTACTCTGGTCCAGAGTATGTGGGTTTATTCTGAGCTCTCTGTTCTGTTCTGTTGTTTTATTTGTCTGTTTTCACTAGTATCCCACTTCCTGATTACTGTACCTTTACAGTAAGTCTTGATGGTGGGTGGTCAGTCTTCTGACTTTGTTTTTCTCCTTCAATGTTGTCTTGGCTGTTCTGAGTTTTTTGCCTCTCCATAGAAACTTTTCAATCAGTTTGTCAATATCCACAAAATAACTTGTTGGCAGATGTTTAAGTAGTAGGGCTTGAGGAGCGTAGACTTAATCCTAAAAGCAATGGAAAATTATGATTATTAAACTAAGAAATAACATCATATTTGCCTTTTCAAAGATTATGCTTTAGTGTGGAAAATGGTTTGAGGGATGTTAGCCAGACTGCAGGGAAAGAACAGTTTGCAGGCTGATGAAGTGATTATAAAGTGAAGAATATTGGTGTGTCCTGAGCTAATGTAGTATGAACTGGAAGGTAAAAGGAGGTCGACAAGAAAGGGGTGAAGGAGTGAGAAACTGCAAAAAACAAACAAACAATAAAACAAACAGAACTTGGTCACAGGCTTGGCACCTGTGGCTCAAGTGGCTAAGGCGCCAGCCACATACACCTAAGGTGGCGGGTTCGAATCCAGCCCAGGCCCGCCAAACAGCAATGATGGCTGC